ACATTCACACCCAAACATTCACGAAGAAACGCGACACTCATGAAATACAGAACATTCATGAAACACAGAACTTTCATGAACGCACATGTTCGTCGATGAAAACAAACACGAGCGTACATGAGCCGACATGAACGGACATGACTCGTCATGATCCGTCACGACTGATCATGACCCCACAGCAACAACACACGAAACAAAATGCGAAAACGAATGCACACACAACAGACACAAAATGCATAACATCATGCAGGCGGCTGGTTGCAATGCACAAATAGTATTTTGCACCCATCACCCAAGGGTATATTCCCTTCTTGCTGTGTAACACAACCGTGCGATTCCAAACAGTTACAAAACTTGTGTCTACTTCTGCTGCTGGTGTTGAACCGCTGGGTCCAAGTTTCGTGGTGTGTGCTAAAAGCCCTAGGCTTGACATGTATCTTGCCTTGTGTCTTGTCGGCCGACCCAAGTGCTCGGATTGGACTGGCAAGGGCCGGAGCGAAATTCGCATGGCTCGGCTAAGTGCTTGAAGTTTTTGCAAATTTTTCAGGAAAGGCCCCGTGGTTGTTGATCTTCTGTGTTGTCAGCGTAGGAGGTGAGTCGTTCTCATTCTCGTCATGGCGCGGGGCGCTACTGTTGATCCATATCCAGTTGTTTGACAAGAATGATGGTGCAAATGGTGGCTTTTGAAATAGCCTTTTATTGCCGGAGAAGCGCCTTGCAAGGTTCCTATTCAAGGCCAAGTCCTGCGAGCACAATGGTGACGACGATGTCGTCTGAAATCAAACTCACGTGCCCTACGATTGATCATGTATGCTCCAGCAACAATCAGTTCCCAGGTCCCATCTCTATCCCCATCAGTTGCTGGATTAGTCGGCTCGACGACACTAAGTCATTAGGCTGATACACCTTTGTGAGGTGCCACCAGGCTTCGAGTGCCAGAGAAGGTGATGTTTTGTACGATTGTATGCCCAGCTTCTCCGTCGACGACATGTTGTGGAGCAACACACTGTACACCATGAGCAAGTCATTGTAGTACTGCACTCTGGCGTTGTCAGTGTCGGCCGAGGGTCCCGCGTAGCTGCCGTCAAAATAGCGAAAAATCTGCGCGTTTTGCAGCAATAGCTCTAGCCTAAAGCTCCAGCTATAAAAATATCTATCATGAAAGATACTACTTGTCTCTATTTTTGATTTGTTCAGGAACCTTGATTGAGCTGAGAGAATTGCGTCATCACTAGGGCGTGAGACTTTAGGTGTTGAACCATTTGTGTCAAGGGAGAAGGTTTGTGGGGTGGTTTCGTGGTCAGACATGGCCGGTTGAGAGGGTTGGGAGGAGGTTCCTGCATCGCCATTCTCCAATGTCTGAAGGCCTTCCTCCAGGGTTATCAATCAAAGAAATAGTTGCTCGAGTGCGACAGATAACGGAGGCATACAGGCCCTTGGATATCAGGGTTTTTTCCCTGAAATTCCTGAATTCCAGCCTACTTTTTGGTACCAACACTGATATTTCAGACTTTTGAATCTAGTGACACTGATTTTTCAGCTTTCATTTCATAGGTAACACTGATTTTCCAGCCTTTATCAAAGTGTACACTGAATGCACATTCCGAATCCTTCTTGTAAAACAAACAAGATGACCAGCACTTCAACAAATAGCTAACGTGATGAGTAAAAACTGAATGCTGATAGCTTGAAGTGTCTTAGTTGTTAGTGAAAACGCTGTTGAAGGGATATGTCTGCAGTTTAAGGCCCTGGGCTGCATGTTTGGTAAGGACTGCAATCATATCAAAGGTGTCATGTGGGTGAAAGTCAGGCTTTTTTCTTTAAGAACCTTGAAAAGTCAGGTTTTTTTTTTTAAGGGAACACCAAAAATCAGCCTTTTTTTATAGGGACCCTGATACATCAATGTCCCTAAAAGTGAATCTGAGGGTCTGAAGGCATACACATGTTTCCTTCTTTTTCAATGATGGACGACACTTGGTCCTTCTTGATTGGGTAAGCCCAGGTCACACGGCTCCAATCATCCACAATGGTGAGAAATTACTTCTCACCTCATTCCCCTATCATCGGCAGCGGCCCCACCACATCCATGTGCACAAGCTGTAGAAGCTTCTTGCTGCCACCCTCGGTTGCATGAAACAGGAAGCATGTGAACTTGCTCAGCATGCAAGTTTCACACTTGTGAGAGAATTCTACACCAATCAGCTTCAGCCCCTTGACCCCTTCCTCCTTTTGCAGTTGCGGCAGTGCGGGCATTGCAATATGCCCGAGGCGGCGGTGTGCTGTCATCCAGTCCATTTCACCACCCCGTGTTGAAACTCTGAGCTCCTGTGCACCTACAGCATTGCACCTCCCCTGGTAGACTGTTCCCCTTGCCCCATGCCATCATCGGCAGCTGCCACATGGAACTGCAAATGTCACGGCTCTCATTCAGGTCCCACAACATCCTTGTTCCCAGCTGCCCCTTAAATGTCTTGGCACCATCGGTGGAGGTGCTGACCCCACATCTGGCCAGCTTCCGCAGGGAGATCAGGTTGGCTTTCAGGTTGAGGATGAGCAGCACGTTGCCCAGCACCACTGGCTTGCTGTCTGCTCCTTTGAATGCAGCACGCCCCGCCCCCGTCACCTTGAAAGCGTGGCCGAATGCCGACTTCACCTCGGCAATAGGTGCAGTCCCCACTTTGTCAAGGAGCTCGGCCCTTGGAGTCATGGTCCATGCCGCTCCCGTGTTGAGCGGGTGCAGCTCATCTCCAACATGGGCGATCACCGCATCCTCTTCCGGCTCTCCAATGTGGAAGAAATGTCCGGCTTCTCTCTCCTCGTGTTCAGCCGGTTCCTCATCGGCGACCGCTCCGGCGCCGCTTCCATCTTGTAACCAGTTGGAGGGGGTCCACCAAGAGGGTCTATTTCTGCATTTAAACCATGGATGACCCACCTTCTCACAATACCAGCACTTGCCATCCATTCTCCCAGGTCCCCTTCCTCACCCTCGGCCACCTCGGCCTCCGCCACATCATCCTCCTCTACCTCCTTGTTGGTTGGAAACCTCCTCATCCTTGGAAGCTCCTCTCCCAGCACCTTGACATTTCTTGCTACTACCCCTCTTTCCTCCTTGCGTGGCACAGCTGTTGCTCCCCTCGTCACCTCCCCTCAGTTGACGCCTCCAGAAGTCCTCCACAAGGATCTTGGTCCAAATCCACTCCAACATCCACTGAACCTAGTTTTGGGGAAGGCTGGAGCCGCTCGTGAAGATCATCCATGACTCCGGCAACAGCAACATCATCTTCACACACTTGGTTTGCTCGGGGTAGGTGATTCCGGCGATGGCGAGCTTGGCGTAGAGTTCCCTCATCTTGTCCAAGACTGGCTGGACAGGTTCTCCTTCACTGAGACGAAGGGTGGAGAGCTCCCTCTCCAATATGAGTGTGGCAACAACTAAGGTGGGGGCATGGAGGTCCTTGAGTATGGTCCATGCCTTGGGGCCACACTCATCCTTCGGGAGTAAGTGCATGATGTGTTGTCGTTGAGCAAGGTCCAGGCTCTGAGATAGGATGTAGTACCCCGTGGATGAGCGCTCGTCCTAATCACTTTGAAGCTCCGGGGCACTAGGTCGTTTTTCACTACCAATCATAAGCTTGAGGAGTCCTATTTGCCGAAAGTATAGCTGCATCTTCCAAGACCACTCGTCATATCCTTCACCACTGAACTTGTCCACGAAGAAGTTTTTCAGTACATCCCGTAGTAGTGGGCCCTGGCTCGTCCGGGCTGTCCTAGGCGCGGAAACTCCAGATTCCTGGCTACCATTACTTGCGGGGGCTGAGTTCCCTTTTTCTCCAGACGACCCCATCGTTGGATATGTCAAAAAATGGCTAAGTACCAGCTCAGATACCACGTGTTATGCGCTACAGTCTATGCGGAAGCGTTCAAAACTTCACTACAAGGTGAAACTTAGCAACACTTAACTTCCCTTAAGTCCCTCCGAGTGTGACAGCTTGTCACCTCCCAGCCAAGGACCTAGAAAAACATATAAGTGAGTACTTATGCTTAGCTTACTTCTAGGGTGAAAGATCTGGTCGAGCAGCGTTTCGGCAGCACCATGTGAGCGTTTCTACTCTTGTCAATACATAGTAGTAGAATTCCAATAATAAAGGCAATATTGCATCGAATTAAAGCAAGGGTGCACTTTCCTAGGGGTGGTTTTTGGGGGCAATGTTGGTGGACACCCTTTGGCGTTTGCTGATTCGAGGGCGAATTGTTTAGGGTACGGAAAGCTGGTGCGAGGAATTGAAAAAAGACTGGGGATTACCAATTTCGGGAAAGGGTTGGGTTGGGAGAACACACTGTGGAAGGGCGGAAATAAAGCGAGGGTGTAAACAGAGAAGCGAAGCTAAAAAACCTGAGTCGATCAACCTGACAAAGCAAGTGATAATCCAAGGAGCGAATGCGAGAACCGTGTGCTAACGACATCACAAATAGCATCTAAGCAGCCATTCCCATCTGTCACTACGACATAGCCCACGAGTAGCATCATCCCGACTAGCTCGCGGCGTCTTCGCATGCGCGGTGCGTCGTTTTGCCGTCCTAGCTTGCCCCTCTCATTTCTCCCATTGCATTTTCACCTTGCAAACCTGTTCTGGCGCTTTCGTCTAGCAACTCTCCCCTGCATTTCCGCCCTAACTCACCTGCTGTCAGCGAAGCACGCGGTGGGCGTGGCGGGGCCGCACCATCCGGTGGGCGTGGACGTGTTGCTGCCACGTGCCTCCTCCTCCGCCAACCTTGCCGCGCATGTGAGCGCTCCTGCTGCACCTTCCGCTGCAGCACTGCGCGGTGAGGGCGAGGGGCAGCGGGAAGCCGCGGGAGTAACGGTTGCGGGCGGCGAGGGGGCGATGTGAATACACATGACAAAAGCATGCATTGTCAGGATACAATACAAACTTGAGCCTTTGCTCTAGTCTTGGGTGTTTCCGTTTTGACAGTAGGGGCGCTGGGTTGAATGACGCTAGAGGCAGCCGCCGCAGCAGTCACCCGCGCGTGTGATGGTGCCTTGCCATCGCACCATGCCTTTGCGCCACCCATTCTGCCCACGCCCCCTTCCATTTCTCCATCGCCGCGCCCTCCTCCCCTGGCCTCAATCGCCCTGGCAGCACCAACAGAGCCCGCTACCCCAGGCGCAGAGGGGGTGGAGAGCGACAGCGAGCGCGCGGGCCAAGGCTTTTTCCCCCGCCAGCCAGACCACTCTCGCCCCGCGCTTCCCGCACGCCTCCCACATCACAGCCTCTGTGCCAGCCTCCCGCGGGTTTGCGGACGCCCTCCCCCGATGCGCACGCGCCTGCAGCAGCGGAGGCAACATTCCTTATGCGAGAGAGCGGGGCAGTGGGGCGGAAGGGGAGGAAGAGGGGAGCGGAGGGGAGGAGGGGGGAGACGTGGCAAAACTGAGGCGGCAGGTGACGATGCCCGGGGGCACCACATCGCCGCCTCGCCTCCTCAGCAAGTAATTGCTGCCCCATCGCCACATCGCTGCCACTTTGCTGCATCTGCCCCATGTCCTTCTCTCTCCCCGCTGTCCTTCTCGCTCCCCCTTGCCCTTCTCTCTCCCCCCTGCCTTCTCTCTCCCCCCTGTCCTCCTCTCTCCCCCCTGTCCTCCTCTCTCCCCCCTGTCCTTCTCTCTCCCCCCTGCCCTTCTCTCTCCCCCCTGCCCTTCTCTCTCCCCGCTGTCCTTCTCTCTCCCCCCTATCCTTCTCTCTTCCCCTCCCTTCTCTCTCCCCCCTGTCCTTCTCTCTTCCCGCTGTCCTTCTCTCTCCCCCTGTCCTCTCCCCCCCTGTCCTTCTCTCTCCCCCCTGTCCTTCTCTCTCCCCACTGTCCTTCTCTCTTCCCCCTGTCCTCCTCTCTCCCCATCCATCCTCGCCCCATTCATCCTCTCCCCATCCAACCTCACCCCCATTTATCCTCTCCCCATCCATCCTCACCCCATCTCCTCCTCACCTCTTTCCGCCTCACCCCATTTTGCTCACCCCATTTCGCCTCACCCCATTCCGCCCACCCCATTCCGCCCCAACCCATTCCGCCTCACCCAATACGTCGCCCACCCACCCGCCATAGCCGCCCTTCCTCTCCCTCTCATTGCCGCTAGCGGAATATGATCACCCCACCTTGATCTCCCTGCCATCTTACTTCGCATCCCCCTCCTCTCCTCTACTCTTCTCTTACTTTGCCATCCCCCTCTTCCCGTCCTTCCTCCTCACCCCATCTCCTCCTCACCCCATCTCCTCCTAACCTCATCTCCACCTCACCCCATCTCCTCCTCACCCCATCTCCTCCTCACCCCATCTCCTCCTCACCCCATCTCCTCCTCACCCCATCTCCTCCTCACCCCATCTCCTCCTCACCCCATCTCCTCCTCACCCCATCTCCTCCTCACCCCATCTCCTCCTCACCCCATCTCCTCCTCACCCCATCTCCTCCTCAACCCATTTCCTCCACGTCCTTCATCCCTTGTGCTTTTCCGCAAGAGGAACTGCTTGGGGCGCTGTGGGTGGATGGCGGCGGGCAGAGTCCCACAAGAGAGGCGGACGTGGTGCTGCTGGAGTCTCTTCCCCCCGTCCTCCCAACCTCTCTTCCTCCACATTACCTTCCCCCTTCCTGTGGTCCTCCCTTCTGCCCTCCCTCACATTCTTCATTCTCTGGATGTTTTTCATTCTCCCATCCTTTTTTCCTCCCCTGCAACGCTTCCCCTGTTCCTCCCTTCATGCATCATTTCCTTCCTCTGTTCCTCCTTTCATAATCCAGGAGTGTCTCTTTCTTTCTTCCTCTTCGCGGGTGCTGCCTTGTCAGCTGTCATTCTTTTGTACCGATATGCTTACCATTGGCTGATTTAGCCACGAGCCTGAATTTCACAATCGTGTTTGTACAGGTCCCCCCCCTTATGCGTTTGGTTCAGGAATGTTGGTTGTTTGATAGTACTACAGTACTAGGTATGACAAATATCCATGCCAATGTTGGATGTTTATTATTATACTACATCTTGATTCAGGGAGCAGTGTGACCATTGACCACCTACAGAGTGCAATAATCGAGTAAAAAAAAACAAAATTGGTCATTGTGATCTTTCCAAACCCACTCTTTTCTGCACACACAGCAGCAGAAAACCAGTACTTGTGGTTCTCTCCCTACACCTGGTGCTAGGCACATGTAAACTGCATGGGGGGTAACGGGGGTGAGTGAAGGGTGAAACACAATAAGTAGGGGCTGAATAGGGGTGTGAGCATGGGGGAAACAGAATGAGGGAAAAGGAGAATGCAAGGGAGATAGTTTGCAGAGGGAAATAGGTTAGCAGGGGGGAAGAGAGTGAGCAAAGGGGGAGCAAGTGAGCAAATGGGGAGAGAGTGAGAAAAGAGGGAGAGAGTGAGCAAAGGGGGAGAGAGTGAGCAAGGGGAAAGAGATGAGAATAGTAGAACGAGGATGAATGAACTATGAATGAAGTGAGTACATATGGGAAACCCTAATTGGGTTGTACCCCCTATGGGATACCCCACTATAGCCTACACAACAGTATAAGCTATATATATGTTCTGACACACCCCCATAGGCAAAGTGGGGGAGAACAAGGGGTCACAAGACCAGTCAAGCAAAGCAGAGCAAGCTCAGGGTGGATCACAAAGTCACCACACAGTCCGAGCACAACGACAGGGCAACAGGGCCAGTTCACATGCAGGAGTACACATATATATATAGAGCTAGACAAGCAAGAGCAGGTATATATATGTGACAGTACAAGCAAGGTCAAGAAGAGAGCAAGTGAGGCAAGACAGGTACAAGACCCAGCTGGGTGCAGAAGCGCTGATGGTCACAAGGCGCAAGTGCCTTGGTGAACACATCAGCAGTGTTGGCCTCAGAGGCCACGTACGCAAGTCGCAACTGACCACGCTGCTGCAGCTCACGAGCAAGAAAGTAACGGAGAGCAATGTGCTTCGTTCTGTGCTCCAAGCGCTGCTCTCGACACAAGGCCAGCATGGCCTTGTTGTCTACGTACAACACTGGAGGAGAACGAGGCGGCTCTCCAAGGTCAGTCAGCAGGTAGGTGAGCCAGCGAAGCTCCTGTGCAGCCATGGCCCCGGCGTAGATCTCAGCCTCACAACTGGAGCTGAGAACAGAGGACGAGCGAGTAGCCCGCCACGAGACAGAGCCGGAACCGAGACTGAAGGTGTAACCCTGCGACGACCGCTGTGTAGCCTGGTCGTCTGCCCAAGAAGCGTCCGCGTGCCCAGTGAGGACCACTGGACTCCGCCCTCCAAGCACTAGCCCCATGCCCGACGTACTGCACAAGTAGCGCAACACCCTCTTCGCTGCAGCCATGTGCTCTGGTCGGTGTCTCCCAGGAGCAACATAGCGTGAAAGAATGCTAAGAGGGTATGCAAGGTCAGGTCGTGTGCAGGTCATCAGGTACATGAGGCAGCCAACAAGCTCTGGGTACGGGCCACTCGACTCTACGGACTCATCCGAAGGCAGAGCTGAGAGCGAGTGGCGAGTAGACAGAGGAGTGGCCTGAGGCGAGGAGTACGTGAAGCCGAAGCGCTGAAGGACCTGCTGCACCATGTGTGACTGAGTCAAGGTAATGGTGCGGCGTGCTCTGTCCCGAGTGATCTGCAAGCCAAGGTAGCTGCGCAGTTCACCGAGGTCTGTGCACGTGTGTCTCTTCTGCAGCTCGGACTTCACGTAGGCTAGTCCAGCAGTGTCAGCTGTGGCAAAGACCAAGTCGTCGACGTACACGAGGACGTAGAACGGCGGCAAAGAAGTGTCGGTGCGCAGAAACAACGACGGGTCAGCAGTAGAGGGAGCAAACCCAAGAGCCGCAAGCGTAGTCCTCAGTGTGTCGTGCCACTCACGCGGTGCCTGGCGGAGACCGTAGACTGGCCGTCGGAGGCTCCACTGGGTGCCAGGAGGAAAAGTCCCAGTGAAGCCAGGTGGACGGCGCAGCCAGATCTCCTCGTGCAGGCTACCCTGCAAGAAAGCAGTACTGAAGTCAAGAGAGTGGAGCTCGTAGTCGCGCTGAGCGGCTATGTGCAGCAGCACCCGAAGAGTGGTCATCTTCGGGGTGGGAGAGAAGGTCTGAAAGTAGTCAACTCCCTGCCGCTGACTGAAGCCACGAGCGACGTACCGCGCCTTGAAGACAGGTGGAGAGCCCGGCGGCCGCTTCACCCTGAAGATCCACATGCCACTGACGATGTTCGCCCCAGGAGGGGGAACCGCGTCAACGTAGGTGCCTGTGGACTTCCAGGACGCCATCTCTGCATCCATAGCTGCCTGCCACTGAGAGGAGTAGGGACCCTCTACGGCCTCCGCGTAAGAGCGCGGAGTCGGGATGTCTAGTGCATCCGGGTCTCCCTCAGGGGCAAGTAGTACGGACGCGAGATGAGGTGAAGCAGCAGCCAGACACCTGAACTCCTCCTGCCTGTCCTCAAGGACGTCCGTGCCAAGAGCACACTCACCCCCGACGGACGGAGGACAGACAGACGCAGACTCAGCAACAAGACCGGCAGCGTAGTCCAGACGACAGCGAGCAGCAAAGTCGACGAGCTCAGCAACAAGCGCAGACGCAGCAGTGGACTCAAAAGAGGGGTCAGTGACGACAGTAGCAAGGAGACGTGTGACAGCAGGACTGGCAGCACGAAGAGAGTCCGACTCCGGGTCAGGAAGAGCAGGAAGAGAGGACTCAGGAGGAGAAGGCAAAGGGGCACGCAGAGGAGCAGTGGACGGACGCAGAGACATCCGGTGCGTGCCAGGGACAGGAGGAGGACGCTGACGCGAACCACGACCACTAGTGCGAGCAGCACGGACAGGCGACGCAGGGCGAGACGCAGGCTCACGACGCTCAGCAAGACCTCCAGTAGGACCAGTGTAGGGAGAAGGAGCGGGCAGTGGGGAGGCCGGCTGTAACTGTAACTGTGACAGAACAGGCTGTGGACACTCTAAGGGAGGAGGAGGACCAGTAGAAGGCGGGAGACCAAGAACCTGCTGAAGGAGCGGAACGAAGTACGGTCTAGGCCGCGCGACGACTCCAGACACAGCAGGGACAGCACCAGTACCCCCAGCGGCAGCACCAGCGCCAGTAGCACCTCCAGCTCCAGGACCTCCAGCAGCACCAGTAGCACCCCCAGCAGGACCGCCTCCAGGACCGACAGCAGTAGCCTCAGCACCAACGCCCTCAGCAGCTCCAGCTCCAGCACCTCCGGGACCCGCGGCACCAGCACCCTCAGTAGCCGAAGAACCTCCAGCTCCAGCAGCACGCCTCCAGCGCCGGGCAAACCACTCGCGCAGCTCCTGTGGAGAGAGGGGCTCCCGCCGAGGCGAAGCACCCGGAGAACCGCCAGGTCCCGCACCGCCAGACGCCACAAGGGGAGGTCCAGTGGCCGCAGGCTCCGCAGCTCCAGGCTCAGCACCTCCAGACGCAGCACCCCCTGGCTCAGCACCCCCAGTAGCAGCACCCCACGGCTCAGCACCCCCAGACTCCGCACCCCCAGGCTCAGCACCCCCAGTCGCAGCACCCCCAGGCTCAGCACTCCCAGACTCCGCACCCCCAGGCTCAGCACCCCCAGTCGCAGTACCCCCAGGCTCAGCACCCCCAGACTCAGCACCCCCAGGCTCAGCACCCGCAGCAGGACCAGAGTCACCAGCAACCTCGACCGGCTCGACTGCGTCTACCTGGGACACACCTGAAGGGGCAGGACCCTGAGGGGGAAGGGGGTCTACCGGGGGGGGACCTGGCACAAGGAAGTGCGGTGGCGGGGGGAGGGAAGGAGTGCGGTAGGGGAAGAGGCGGTAGAAGGGGACTGACTCGTCGAACGTGACGTCCTGGGAGGACAGAACACGACGAGAGGAGGGGTGGTAGAACTGCCACCCTGGAGCGTCAGGGGGGAAGCCGAGGAAGACACAGGGAGCAGCACGAGGGGACAGCTTGTCCGCAGACAAGTCGCGGACAAACGCCCGAGATCCCCAGACACGGAACGCAGACGCATCGCCGACCTTCCCCGTCCACAGCAGAGCTGGGGAGGTCTCCGGCCGGGAGACCCTGGGGTGAAGGTTGATCTGATGCGCCGCGTACCGAACCGCAAACGGCCACAGAAAATGGGGGGC